ATATATATATTTCAGATGTGTGTTTTTGGGTGACAAGTTGATAGACAGCCGTGTTGTCAATCTTAAGACTCCTCTGACTCAGGTTCAACCCTACAAGGACGGATAACACATATTAGGAGTGTTATTCTCAAATACTAACCTCACACACACACACACACACACACGCATTTTGTATATATATGTATATGTACGTATGTATGTATGTATATATCTTGCACTAAAGTTTTCTTTTTATAATTACACCACCCAAATATTTCGTATCACTTCAAAAATATCATTATTTTAACTTTTATAAAGTGAAAATCACTTTTTCGTGCAAAAGAAGGTGATATGTATGTAAAATTTATAGTTTATGTGTTATATAAGCAAATACATAGGAATTGAGTGGCATGCATGTAAATCTTCCTATTTTAATAACATTGTACCCTTAATTTTTAATATATTTGATGAATATCTTATATCACAATTTTTTGATAATTAACTGACTAATCCAATTTGTGTAATTAGTTAAAACTTAAAAACTCAATTGATTAGATCAGGAGCTATTTACATTAATAGGAAATACCACCATCTCTTACTTAGAATTTCACAATATTATAATTACAAAAGTATACTTTTTGTGGCAAAGGTTTAATTATTTAACTTATTAATTAACAAAGTCAACCCTAATTTCTATATATATATGTATGCATGTGCCGCCAGCCATGACATGTTGGTAGAGCGGCCTCTTTGAAGATCATATGTCCCTTCAGGTCACGGGTTCGAATCCCCCTCTCACCAGTTTACCAGTAGTGAGGTCGGTTCTCAAATAGTCAGACACAGTAGGGTGGTCAGGGGCTCGTATAATAGCCTTTGTCCATACTTTTTCATGTTTGTTTGTATGTATTATCATAACAATTTTAACATGAATATAGTAACTTAATAAATTATATGATAAGGAAATGTTAGTTATAACAATAAATTGACATTAGAAAATAATTTTAAAATAAAAATATGTTTTTTTTAAAATGAAGATATAATAATACATGT